AGGGTTCTCGGATTCAGGCTCGGGTGCGGACTTTTGGCTGTGCAAGTGGGTTCAAAGTACTTGATGATTAGGGATTGGGGTTTAGGGTTTAGGGTTTAGGGTTTAGGGTTTAGGGTTTAGGGTTTAGGATTATAGAAGTCAGGATTTGGGATTCACGGTTAGAGGTTAGGGTTTTCAAGCAGCAGTGTGTTGAGGTGCAGCTAAGGCAGCATACGGAGGGGTCTTCGGAAATTGCCCAAAACATTTTAAGGCATCCATCCGGCGATTTCAGCTAGCTGTCCTTGTTGCGCTGTACCATCATTTTACACTCACACCGATGACTGGTAACCGGCCGAAACATGAGCGAATTCAGATGGGATAAACATAGCTGAAAGCTCCCGTGCCACACCCACATTCTCCGGCCCGTATCCAAGCACATCCAAAACTCCAAAACCCAGAGAACCCAATACCCCCTAACTAAGGAATATACTTTAAATCTTAATATTAAGGCCCCTATAATTTAAAGTATATCCCTTAATTAAGGAATATTGGGCTTCCACGTCGACAGCATACTCTATAAACCCTAAACCCTACACCCTAAAGCCTACCGCCAGGAACTGCCAATTCTCCTTGCCTTTGATCTGATACCAGTCCTGCAACGTGCAGGGGGTGCCCTGACTGTGGCTTAATGTAGATCCCTGATCAGAAAGCCCGTGCAAACCCTAAACTCCAAGACTTAAGTCCTGTATTCCCTAGAGCCTAAAAGCCCTCAACCTTAATCCTTCAGCCCTTCCCTAAATCCTATATGCCCTAAACCCTAACCCTGAGGCCTTGTTCACTAGACCTTTTCAGGGACGGGGGTTTTGAAATCAGAGGTCTACATGTTTGCAGGGCCCGCGCTTGGAGCTTGTAGTGTGTGTCACTATAGGGACCATGTGGGGTTTATAGAAGTTTACGCAGTTCACGCGGATTGGACGTGTTTCTCGGGAGCTTCAACGTCGTTTCAGGGTTCAGGGGGCGAGGATGTAGCTTAGGATGTTGAGATCTGAGATTAATGTATATAGATGACCAGCGAGTTATTTATCAGGCTGCGACATTTCCTGTTCTGACACCTTTGGTTTAAAATAATGCCTAGACTAGATCTGTGCACGGTACAGTTCAGGGACTTAGATCGTACCGAGAATGCCAGGACTTCGAGGTTTAGGGGTTTAGGATGGTTTCGGGTTAAAGGATTGGGTCTAGGGTATAGGGGCTAAGGGTTAGGATTTAAAAGTTGGAACGCCTGAGGTTTCAGCAGCTCACCATTCAGCGCTTCAGCTTCCTCAAATACTCTAAGCCCCACGAGCTTGTTCAATTCTTGAAGCCCTGGGTTTTGACTCCATGAATCAAGTCTTGAACTCGTAAATTCGCAACCTCAAGCCCGAGATCTGTACTCCCTAAACCCCCAAAGGCACGAGCCCTAATTCCGATGACAATATAGGGGCCTTAAATAATTACCGATACTATCTTGGGGGAGTTCCTTATTCTGGTTATAGTATAACATACCCCACAACCCTATTCTGATTACTAAGGCCCCTACACCGTCAACCTTTTACAGTAGCCCTTGTAGGAACCCTTTCAGGAACCCTTTCAAGGAACCCTGTGAAACGTTATTCTAATTATTAACGCCTCGACAGTGGACCATGAAGCTTAGACCAGGCTCGCTCCCCAAGAGAAACTCGGCTCACTTGGCTCTTCTGCGTTGCCTCCATGAGTTGGACGAGGCCTGGGGGAAGACCATGAGGCATGAGCGATTTAGGGTCTTGGGTTGCTGGATTCTTGTAAGGATCCTAACTTAAGTTACCATAACAAATCGGGTTCTAAAGTAAATGTTGGGTAACTTGAGTTACGTTCCGTAACAAAAACCCAGACTGGAAGGGGTTCTAGAAGGTCTTTCATGGGGTTTAGGGTTTAATTCAGGGTAGCAGGTTTAGATTGTAGGATTCGGGGCATGAGGGTTAGTATCGAGTTAGTAAATATAGGGTTTCTATAAAGGCGTCTGAGAGTTTTTTTTCAAGTGCTTCGGGGTGTGGGTTGCTTGGAGGATCGCGGGACTTAGTAAGTAAGCTTATAAGCACCGTGGCCTATTGTAGCGACAGTTACCTTATTGGGTTCTACAAGAAGAGTCCTAGCAGGGCCCTACTCATTTTTTGTAGGGGTTTGCGGGTTGGTGGAGCACTTAGGATTTTGGCATCATATTGCAAGTTTGTTTCGGTCTTTGGGGTTTCATGTTGACGTTTCTTAGGGGTCTAGAGCTGTGGGCCTGTGAGTTCTGTGACTTAGGGTTCAGGGTCGCAGGGCTTGGGACTAGGGTTGAGGATTTGGGGTTCAGGGTTTAGGGTTTAAGGTTTAGGGTTCAGGGTTCAGGGTTTAGGGTTTAGGGTTCAGGGTTTAGGGCTTGTTGTCGAAGAATTTGGGGTTTAGGGTTTAGGGTCGAAAGGTTTGGGTTTAGGGTTCGGGGCCTTAACAAGCAGCAGCGCCGTTTCTTAGGGCTCCGGCCGAGCATCAGGGAATTTTGGGTTTAGGTTTGGCTTAGGGATTAGGATTCAGGGTTTAGGGTTTAGGGTTGCAGGGTTTAGGGTTTAGGTTTGGTTTAGGGTGAGGATTCAGAGTTATGGCCTTTTGGATTTGGAACGTTGACAATTGTTAAGGAGAGCTTTGTTGAGGGGTGCATGTCTGATCAGATGCTGTCTTTCGATGATGGTCTCTTATCTACGGATGTGCATTATAGTGTCGCAAGTTGCACTGGCATGAGCCACCCGGCTTGAAACACATAGACCATGGTAATTTCGCCAATGTTACAACATGTTTCCAAACCGGAGCCCGAACCAAAACCAAACCCCAGAACCTGCCGCAAAAGGGTTTAGGGTTTAGATTTGTATGCCTAAGCCGTCAGACCGATCACTTAAAACCCTGCTAAACCCGATACCCTTCATTAACCCAAGCACTACACCTCGAGCCTAAATATAAAGTCCTGTTGTTGAAACTTACAACACATCCCAAGCTCGAATTCTCGAAGCCCTAAACCCTAAACCCTAAAAATCCTAAGCTCGAATTTCCGCAAGCCTATAAGCCCAACAAATCCTAAGCCCGAATTCCCGAAACTATAAACTTGTAGAGCAAGGCATATGGCGCTACTGTCCGCAAGGACGGCGAGCAGGCGGCCTGCAAGCTTTGAGTCTCAAAAGGTTGGTTCTGGGTGTTTCGAGCTTCGAGAATGTCACAGGGCTCCAAATAACTCGCAACCTGCTATATCCCTATATGGGTAGTTGTCAAAATTATGGTCCCTTTTGGGGTACCCTAAATAATAGGTGCCGTATTATAATAAGGACCCAAAAAGGGACCATAATTTTGACAACCACCCATATGCTTCTACTGGCTTCTTGATAAGGAGTTCTATTTCGAGTTACCAAAGAGAGGAAGCCCTGTTCTTCACTTTAGATCTTTATTTTGTTGTTGTAGTTAAAAACAGGGTTTAGGGTTTAGGGTTTAGGGTTTAGGGTTTAGGGTTTAAGGGTTTCGGGTTTCATAAGATCCCATGCCTGGGGCGCTGCTGGCATCAGATACCCCGAAACCTTGAGTTCATCAGTCAGGCCCTGCATTAGGATTGTCTTTGGGAGCTTGGGAGCTTTGGGGTTTGGGTCTTACCCTAAGGCTCTTGTTGCTGTTATGGGCTTTCTAGGCGAAGGTTTGGGCTTTGGGGGCTAAGGTTTTGGCTTTCATTATGGGGGTCCATGAGCGTTAGGGTAGAGCTTATAATGATCCCCTTTGGGGTCATGTGACTCTCAAGGAGAGTGTTTGGAGATCAGATTGTAGAATTCTGGTGCAAAGTTTGCACACTTTTGGCAGAAGGTTGCACAGCAACTGAAGCAATGTCCCAAACTATGCACTGGCGCGGAGTGTCATACCCCTATGAGAAAGCAGCTTGGGGTGCCCTGCCCAAAGACGGAACATGCAATGACGCGATTGCACCCTGTCCTACATGGCTCGGTCCTTCCATGCTTCCCTGTTCACTCCATCTCGACTTGAATCCTAAACCCTAAACCCTAAGCCCTAAACCCTAAACCCTAAAGCCCTAAACCCTCAACCCTCAACCCGAAACTGGATCAGCTAAGCTTCTGTCAGGCCTGGCCTTTGGGGGATCTCGTGAAAGACATCTTTGAGCTGCTGAAGGAGGCCACCTACATAGGCACGCCATGGCGGTTACTGGGCTCTTGTTCAGGAATTTAACTTTAAGTTACCAGAATTGGGATCTATAGTAAATAATAAGGTTTCCTTATAAATAGTAACTTAGTTGAGGGTTTAGGGTTTAGGGTGTCTGATTGGCTGCTAGGGCTCTGCAAGGGCTCGGGTCCGGGGCTTTGTTAGAGGCATTTGGATTGCATTTAAGGTCTACAGATCGGGGGTGCAAGGTTCTGCGGGTTTGGTTCTTGAGCTTGCAGTGCTCTAGGACTTATGTTTAGGTTTTCAAGTTTCGGCATGGTCCGGGATGCTCGTGCGTTCCGAGGAGCAGCAAGATCGTGTGCACGCGGTCAGTGCAGTTTTGTTCACTTCAGTTGCAAGGGATCTCTTTGCGCTCAACTCCAGAAAGTTGGGTCATGGGATACGAAAGATTTATGATGGGAGTGCCTAGATTTGCTCAGCATTATCATGTAGGTACTCTCACGGGGTATTCGTATTTGTTGATTGTTCAGTGGCTCAACCCGCTATAAACTGCACACAGAGTTGCAAGATAGTCCTTAAATAAGTAAACCCAACACCAAAGCCGACGACGGCTGCCTTAAATCCTTATCCCACTAAACCTTAGCCTACAAAAACACCACACCGCCATCTGTCACCCAGAACCCCGCCCGACTTCAAAGGAAGGCACCCTGAAAATACAGGAGATTCATCAGTGACGGGTTGAAGGTTCGGCTGTTTAGCATGAAGGGCTTTGGGGCTAGAGGAAAGCTACCAGAAGAGGGCCACTTCTTTCCTGCCGGGACCTAGGAAGACGAGCCACTTCAGTTTTGTTGTTGTTTGTTGCGCTCTGGACTCACGGATGCACGGGTCTTTAGGGCACAGAACTACCATTGGAATGAATCCCCGCCCTTAGAAAATCCTCTGAAACCCGTAAGTATCCCTTCTCCAAAACCTTATAATTTCAACATCGCACAAACCCTAAACCTTAAACCCTAAACCCCTAACCCAAAGCCCTAAACCCTAAACGCCCTGAGCCAAGCAGCAAGCCTTTGCGCCGACCGCAGCAGGGAAAAACATCCAGCCGCGGAAGAGTCTGCGAGGCTGGCCCGCCCCTACCTGGTACCCGGAGTTCAAGACCGAGTGGGTTAAGGGTTTAGGGTTTGGGGTTTAGGGTTCAGGGATTTAGGGTTTGGGGTTTAGGGGTTTAGGGGTTAGGGGTTTAGGGTTTAGGGTTTAGGGTAGAGGGATTTAGGGTTTGGGGTTTAGGGTCTAGGGTTTAGGGTTTAGAGGTTATAGGGTTTAGGGGTTCAGGGTTTAGGGTTTAGGGATGTAGGGTTTAGGCGTTCAGTGTTTAGGGTTTAGGGTTTATTGTGTCAGGTTTAGGGTTTCTTTGTAAGGTTAAGGGCTCTACAAGGGTGTTGCTATAGTTCTGTGTAGGGACATAAGACCCTCCCTGCTCATGAATTTGGGGTTACTGGTTTAGGGTTTAGGGTTGTAGAGTTTATGGCTTTAGAGCTCACAGTGGCCTTACGTAATATAGAAGCCAAAATAACTACCTATAGTATTTTAGGGCTTCTTTATTATATTTATAGTATAGTATACCCCCCAAACCCTTGATCTTAATATTAAGGCCCTACATTAGGCTCTTTGGGGGCTTTCCTCTTTGTCTTTCGGGTTTCCAACCCTAAACCCTAAACCCTAAACCCTAAACCCCAAACCCTAAGCCCTAAACCCTAAGCCCTAAACCCTAAGCCCTAAGCCCTAAACCGTGCATTTCGGTTGAATTCGGGGCTTCAGGCTTGGGGCCTGAAAGGTCTTCCGGGGTTTGAAGGCTTAGGGCTTGGGTCTAGGGCTTTAGGGTTTAGGGCTTCAGGGTTTAGGGTTTAGGGTCTAGGGCTTTGGGGCTTTAGGGTTTAGGGCTTCAGGGTTTAGGGTTTAGGGTCTAGGGCTTTGGGGTTTTGGGGCTTTAGGGCTCTAGGGGTTCAGGGCTTTAGGGCTTAGGGCTTGGGTCTAGGGCTTTAGGGGTTTCGGGGTCTAGGGCTTTAGGGGTTTAGGGCTTTAGGGTTTAGGGCTTAGGGCTTTATAGGGCTTTAGGGTTTAGGGCTTTGGGCTTTAGGGTTTAGGGTTTAGGGTTTAGGCCCTTAAACCTCCAACTCCACAAACCCCCCCCAAAGCCCCTCCCTCATCCCGTAAACCCCCTAAAACGAAACCAAACAGGCGCGCTCACGGAAGGGACGCTACGAACGATCCGGGCCCGATGGTCCTATCTGCCGGAGGTGCCGGTTTCTCTCACGAGGGTTAGGGTGTTTTTAGGGTTTAGGGCCTTAGTGGTTTAGGCTTTTAGGGTTTAGGGTTCAGGATTTACTTTTTTGGGTTTAGGGTTTAGGGTTTAGGGTAGGGTCGTGGGACTTAGTATCGAGTGTTAGCCGGAACAAACACTTCCCCCAAGCCCAAAGCCCCGAACCCCAAACCCTAAGCCCTAAACAGCAAACCCTAAACTCTAAACCTCAAACCCCAACCCCCAAAGCCTAAACCCTACACAGCAAACCCTAAACTCTAAACCTCAAACCCCAAACCCCAACCCCCAAAACCCTAAACAGCAAACCCGAAACTCTAAACCTCAAACCCTAAACCCCAAACCCTAAACCCTACACAGCAAACCCTAAACTCTAAACCTCAAACCCCAAACCCCAAACCCTAAACCCTAAACAGCAAACCCTAAACTCTAAACCTCAAACCCTAAACCCCAAACCCTAAACCCTACACAGCAAACCCTAAACTCTAAACCTCAAACCCCAAACCCCAAAGCCTAAACCCGACAATCTAAACCTCAAAACCCCGATGCCTGAAGTCCAATTCCTCAACTCCCAACCCTCCCGCCTAGTTTCGGGCTTAGGGGTTAAATCGAAGTTGGTATTTAGGGTTTAGGGTTTAGGTAGTTCGGGTTTAGGGTTTAGAGCTGAGGGGTTTAAGGGTTTAGGGGCTTAGGGGCTTTGGCTTCGATCTTAGGGGGTCGAGCGGCCTAGATAGAACCAGGGGGTCTGAACCCTGCCTTTCTCCTTGGGATTTTAAGAGAGCTACCCTAAACCCTAAACCTTAAACCCTAAACCCCCTAATCCCCCTAAACCCCCTAAACCCCCTAATCCCCCTAAACCCCCTAAACCCCCTAAACATGAAAGTTCAGAGGAGCTCTCTCCGATCCTCACTCGATTGTGGGGCGGAGAGGCTCTCATCTACATTCTGAGCATTGGGCAGCAAGCAGTTGAGGGCTCTAAAAGGGCAATACAAGGGTTTAGGGTTTAGGGTTACTATAGTTAGGGGCTTTAAGAGTTACCTATACTACTTTAGGGGTTCCTTACTACAGCTTTGGTATAGTATACCCCAAAGCCCTTATTCTAATTATTAAGGCCCCTATATTATGCCTGGCTGAGGGTGTTGAGTTCAGAGGGAGTGGTTTCGAGTTTGAGACCGGTGAGATTGAACGCCTTCCCGCTTTAGGGTTTAGGGGTCTGCTTTTGAAATCCATCGGCTTGACCAGTTCGTTCTGTTCTCAATAAGAAGAGTTCTTGAAGTCTCTTTGAAAATAACCTAGCCGTAGAAGGAATACAGGTACGTTCTGCGGTGAACCCGCAGGCGTCTGAGCCAGACGTCTCCATTCTAGGTTTACACTGCATGGCCCAATCCTAATAACCTAGCCTTAGAAGGAATACAGGTACCTTCTGCGGTGAACCAGCAGGCGTCTGAGCCAGACGTTTCCATTCTAGGTTTACACCGCATGGCCCATCTAATGCATAGCGGCCTAAGTCGTTTAGAGTTCAGAGTTTACACGGGGTTTAGGGTTTGGGGGTTTGGGTCTGGGAGGCCCAGAGCCCTTAAACCCGAAGCAGGCCTGTACCCAGAGGACAAATCCAGCCAAAGCACCCATGCATGCACTCGCACACCAAACCCCACACCCTGACGAGACTCCAGCCAGCAAACGCACAGCATCAAAGGAAAGTCGTGGCGGACAACGAGATCTTTCTGCACCACGGAGTGGCGCAGGTGAACTGGCTTCTGTCGAGTAGATTTATGGGGATATGAATAATCACAACTTCAACAATAATTAATATTAATACCAGTCTAAATAAAATGCAATACTCAAGCGACCACTACTACTGTTACTACTACTACTACTACTACTACTACTACTACTACTACTACAGGCAAATTCTATGTGAAGAAAACTACGTTGCTGTTCCAGGGTCTGGGAACGTTCTGAACAGAACAGGTCGAATAAGAAATATACTTC